AGGGCCTACAAGGAGCTGGAGAGGGACTCAGTGTTTTCATGCTTTAATATTCCTAAGAGGAAAGAAAAAGCGTTTTCTTATGTAGTATGACTAAGTAACTTTGTTATTTTGAATTTCAGAGCCTAGTCTCAGAAGAAGAAACGTTTAAAAATTTATACAAAGATTATCCTCAAGCTTCACATTTATATTATCCACCCAAAAAGGTACATTAGCTTTCCTTCAGGTTAAACTACATGGTGAATCAAATTGTTTCAGAAACTAATGGCTGGGTTTGTTTCTCTTCTTAGACATCAACTCCCTCCAGTGCCAAGTCTCCTGGCTCTGCTCTGAAGCTCACAGCCATGAGGAAGATGCGTGAGACAGGATGGGCTGCAGTGTCCAAAATGGACAGGAAAAGGAAAATGAAAGAAGTTGAGAAGTTCTTTGCCTAAAATGCAGAAATGCTTTGGCAGTACTGATCAGTGCCACCACAGAGTTATTGTTCTTTCAGAGTTGGTGCTTTTGTTGCATTTTTCTGTCACACTCAGTATGTTTAATTCTACCTTCATTTCCTTTACACATGTAGACTTTAGAGATCTATAACTAAATCCACCTGTGGAGCATTTCTCACCTTTCTTCCCTGTGCTTTAAAAAGTTGGGAGACAAATGAGCCAATTTGAAATTCTGAGATAAGTATAACTACCTAGAAAGTTGTTTCAAAGCTGTTTCTGGCATTAGAAATATTGGTTTTAAAGAACCTCAGTTCTGTCCTTTTACATTGACTCTGTTTTTCTTACTACATAGTGAAAGAAGTACTGAAGTTGTTAAATGCACTTTTACCTGAAGTCATCTTGCTTTTTCCTGCATTTTAAATGCTGTCTCTTTAGACTGTTTTGTTTTCAATTTCAGTTCTATTTCAGTACATTAAACAGTTTTGAACCTTTTAAGATTGACTTTGCAATAGAATTTCTTCAGTTTAAACTGATTTCAGCTTCATAAGGAATAAAGTGTGACCACATGTTTTAAGACTGTTTAAAAAACCCCAGATTTAAATTGTCATTAAACCGTTTATCTGAAGTGTAAAGTGTGGGAGTAAATGTTGTTGCTTTAAAAATGAGAGCACAGAGCTCACCCTTAGCCTTCCCGGGGACCAGCAGCCTCTGGCTTGTCTCTGGTGGTTGTTGGGTGGTTGGTTGGGTTTTGTTTAGCTTTGTGCTCAGCACAGCCACTGTGTATCTCAGACTAACAGAACTGTCTGGCACTTTCCAAAGAAGCGAAACCGAATCCAAAGTGCTCTGAGCCCAGCAGCAAACAGGATTAGGAAGTGTTTTCAGACCATAAATGGAGATTGTTGGCACACGATATGCAACAGAGAGATTTGCTGTTTTAATCTGTGGTTGATAGGAAATGCTGCAGCTAATCCTAGGGAAGCAAGAGAAGAGCAGCCTGTGAATCTATAAATTTCAGAGATCAGAGCTGTGTTTCAGGCTGTTAGAGACTTGCAGTAGACAGATTAGCTTTGAAAATTCAGCAGCCACAGGCTGTTTAAATGCAAAACCTGGCAAAAATACTTGTTTCTATGGCAGCATATCAGGATCTTCTTTCCTTTGACCAGGGCAGGCCTGCAACAGGATGGAGTTGGAAATAATTCCTCTACCAGAACATTTCTCTTTCAGAAATCTGACTGGGGCAGCCACCACATCCCTGGGCAACCTGTGCCAGTGTCTCACCACCCTCACAGGAAAAACTTCTCACATCCAACCTAGACCTTCCCTCCTTCAGTTTGAACCCATTGCCCCTTGTCCTGTCCCTGCAGTTCCTAACACAGAGTCCCCCTCCAGCTCCTTGTAGGCCCTTCAGAGAGTGAAATTGCTCTGAGGTCTCCACAGAACTTTCTCTTCTCCAGGCTGAACAGCCCCAACTCCCTCAGCCTGTCCTCACAGGGGAGATGCTCCAGTCCTCTTAGCAACTTGGTGACCTCCTCTGGACTTGCTCCAACAGTTCCATGTCCTTCATGAGTGAACAAAAGTGACTCTGCTCTGCACCTTAACCTGCTCAGGAGACCACAGAGTTTTCAGTATGTTGTACAATTACCAGGGGCAGAGTGAGTAGAAATAATGTCTGATAACTTCTCATTGTTCCTACTTTTAGGCATTGGTCAGTGGCAGAAAATCCTCTAAAATTGCTGTCAGATAAGAGCTTCTTATACACACTGAATTTCCATCACCCATTGTAGACTCCTGGGGAATGGGCCCAAGATTTTATAATTCCTAACTTCTATTTACAGATCTCACTTGAAACACTTCCTGGAGAACATCAGCACACACTTAATGGAAGTGTAAGATCACTGATGTCAGTGAATGAATTGGTTTAGTTAGCAGAAAGGTTAAAGATAAATAATTAACACTGTAACTGGCTGTTCCACAACAAAGCTGAGGGCTATAAAAGCACATTAAAAACTTCTTCCCCTGAGGATCTGCAGGTCAGCAGGAGAGCAGCCAATGAAACAGCTCCAGAAGCATCACAGTTTTCATGATGGACTTCAGGAAACCACATGGAAGAGCCTAAGGCTCTCAGAGATTGCTACACTGGACTGTGTTGTCCTGATACAGTCTTGCTGCTCCCTGGAGCTGGTGGGATCTCATTCCCATCAAGCATTCAGAGAGGGCAGCAGTGCCTGAGCTCCATGTTCACAGCCAGAAGGACAATCCAGGTGGTTTTTTACCAGCCTAATAGTTTGTGTGAGTTACTGAAGGTGTGTGAATCTCTCCCTGGAGCTCTGTATTGCCTCTCTCACAGGCTAATATAGCAGTAGCCAAGAGGTTCTGTGTCCATATCAGTGAGCACAGTAGGAGAAGCAGCAGCCACATTGGTCCCAAGAGCCACTCAGACTAATTGTTGTCCTTGCAGATAAATGAATTTTCACACTTAACACCTGGTCATGTATTTCTGTAGTGCACTGCAGAGTGTGCAGAGTCAGAGTCAAACCACTGCAGGCCATAGAGGCACTGCTGAGCTCCTAGTGCCTGCTCCAGGGGGTGATAATTCCCCACATCCAACACCCACCACACTGGGCTGTGCCTGGCAGCCTAAACCTTCCTGCCAGGAGGGCTCTGGGCAGATGGCACCAAGGACATTGCCTCTGTGTGATTGCCTTAACAACCAAATTTGTAACCACTGCAAAGAATGAAATTGGGTTTGTGTGACATGACCTATTTTATGTAACATCGTCTTGACAGGCATTAATTATGTTCTCTTCCATTAATTCTTTATTGCTCAAATCCTGTATCAACTTTCTGTTACTTTACCTGCCTGGTGGAGAGTTACCTGGGTCAGCTCTCTCTTTAAATATTGCCATAACATTAGCACTTTTCTTCCTGTTTTGAGATCTCCTCAGTATTCCAGACTTGTTGAAATGAGCATTAACTAGTTAGAGATGTGGAGTTGAAAATATTTATTGCTGATATGATGGATCTAATCATTTTTTTGTTGCAAATCTCTCTGTGGGTTGTTCAGCCACTACATTTTCAAATGCTGAAGCCTTTGCACTGACTCTGCATCGACAGCTTCTCTTCATCTCATAGTGTCCTTTGACTTTTCAGTTGGCCTCTGGCCTGGAGGACTTTATTTCCTACTCTCCAGCTTCCTGTGTGAGTTTTCTACATCTCCTCACTCCTAACAGTGATGTTGGTTTGTTTTCCTTTTATTTTTCCCATTGCTATAGTTTTTCTTCTTGCATTCTCTTCTTCATGCTCACCATGATAAACTTTCAGGCATTGTTATCATTTGCTGCTGATGTTTGTAGACATTTCCCTAAATCTTACTAAAGCAAATTCTTAAACCCTCTTTACCCTAACCTCAATCTCCCCATTTTCACCCTAACCTTGACCTCCTCACATTCATTTTTCTCAGATCAGAGGAATCAGCACTTTGAGGCAGCAAAGAATGTGTATTTTCACACTCTGACCCATCCTCTGTTCTTGGAGTGTGTTTTGACTCACTTCAAACCTGGATGTGGAAATCTCCCTGGCAGGTCCAGGGAACACAAATCCAGCTCCAGCTGCCTAAAGCTGTGCTTGGAAACGCCTCTGAGCTCTTTAGAGGAAAGAATCAGCTGTGCACACAAGGCTCACATGTGATAATCTTGCTTTAAAAATGCTGTTTTTCGCTCTTATTTTGGGCACTTTTTGTGCTTTCCAGGATTTAGCTTTATTAATTGTTTCCTTTTCCTTTCAAAGAATCATAGAATTTAGGGGCTAGAATGGACGTGACAGATCATCCAGTCCCAACCCCTGCCCTGGGCAGGGACACCTCCTCACTAGATCAGGTTGCTCAAGGCTCATCCAGCCTGGAATGAACACCACCAGGGTTGGGGCAGCCACAGCCTCCCTGGGTAACCTGTGCCAGTGTCTCACCACCCTCACAGGGAAAAACATTTTCTCACATCCAACCTAGACTTTCCCTCCTTCAGTTTGAACCCATTGCCCCTTGTCCTGTCCCTGCAGTTCCTAACACAGAGTCCCTCTCCAGCTCCTTGTAGGCCCTTCAGAGAGTGAAAAGTTGCTCTGAGGTCTCCACACAACCTTCTCTTCTCCAGGCTGAACAGCCCCAACTCCCTCAGCCTGTCCTCACAGGGAGATGCTCCAGTGCTCTTAGCAACTTGGTGGCCTCCTCTGCACTTGCTCCAACAGTTCCATGTCCTTCTCATGTTGAGGACACCAGAACTGTGTGCAGTGTTCCAGGTGGGTCTCACCAGAGCAGAGCAGAGGGGAAGAATCACCTCTTTGCCCTGCTGCCCACACTCCTGTGGATGCAGCCCAGGATTCAAGATTTGAGATTCTTTGTCCCCTTTCAAATACCCTTCAGATTTCCCAGGAACAAACACTCCTTTCTGTGCTGGAAGCTTTAAATAGCCAAACCCATCACATGTAGTGTGTCTGTGTATACACAGTGTGTGTATATATGGATATATACATTACCTAGTGTGGGTTGTGTCTGTTTAGACTCACAAAACCTTTGTGTTTATGTTTGAAATACACCAGGGAAACACAGAGCTCACTAACAAACACACTGCAGTAGTAGCAAAGTGTTACACTCCTGTTGCTAAGGGAAGTGCACAGATGTTACTGAGAGTACAATTAATACTCTGCTCATGTCCCTAAGCCACAAAGAGTTATATTTAATTCCTGAGAAGTGACATGGCAGAAATTAACCCAGAATTAAAGATTCCATGAAAACACAAAGCACTTGGCTTGTCTTACTAGGACAAGAACTCTATTATGTTATCCAAAAAAACCCAAAAACAACAAACCCTTGGAAAAGTAGCCCAGGACACAGAGCTGTATGCAGCAGCCTGAAACTACAAGAAAAGGAGACTATTCTTCAGGAATTAACACCTGACTGGGTCTGGATCACTCCTCCAGCAGCCCAAAGTGACACATTTATCAGCTCA